CCTTCGACGACATTTTCGTTTACCGTTGCGCTTCCCCCCGCGCAGTCTGATCTTGCAAGGTACTCGAAGTCCTCCGTGCCAACGGACTCTATGCCAACCTCGCCAAATGCATGTTTGCCGAGTCAGAACCCTCCCCTTTCACTACTACAATGACATGCATCAGGTCACAGGCATCGCTCATGCGATCCTCTGCTTCCAGGCGCGTATCCATCAATTCCAATGCAATTGCGTCATCCTCAGTCACATCGCTCCGAGGGATCTTGTAGCTGTTCTCGCCATTACCCTCAACAGTCGCATGTAGTACCCGTCGCCAGGTTCGAAACTCTCCTGCAAAGTCAATGATGGCAGACAATTGAACGATTCCTTGACAGGTCCTTCAAGGACTGACATTTCATTTGCTGCTACAATAACTGAATAGAGTTGACGAAGCCCTGGTCTAGAACGTTCAGGTCCGGCGACCGAGGACCTGAACATTCTAGACCTGGGCTTCTTCAACTCTCTTGTGCCAACCAGGTCTAGGAAGAACGTTCAGGTCCTCAGTCGCCGGACCTGAACGTTCTAGACCTGGTTGGCACATTAGTTGGATGCTCCAACCACCCTCAGTTGCCGCTTGAACTAAAAAGGCATCGTGGTCAGCAATGTGCCCCATTTGCGCTTACTTGAATCGAAGTAAATCATATTATTGGAATATGATTGGAGGGCATACTACTGTATGAAGTTCGATGAATATTGAAACCAATAATGTTGTTTTGACCTTTATGTGTGTTCTGCATGGTGATTGGCTTTAATATCTGATGAGTAATGGGTAATTTCGGTGTGGGTTAAATTTCCCCGTTCACTGTAGCTGCTAGAGGTCTTAATTGTTGCAGTCAGCAAGGCTCAACTCAATTAATTGACATAAAATTCTATGTGAAAACTCCACCAATCACACACATTTCTCTAGTGCATATTGAGCAGTTCTCGTGATTGGCGGGATTTTTCTCTATAAGAATAGGGTGGCTTTATCGACCAGGCGCGCACTGTACGAGGAGATGGCAACGAGGAGATGACCGCTGATTGGTCAGACACCGAAGCGCACATATGAGGACATTCTCTTAAGGCGACAACACATGCAAAGTGCGCTCACTGGACAGATCTTAACGTTTTTCATACCCGGCTTAATAATTTTGAGAATATTTCCCTCATTAAAAACAGTTCCACTTGTGTTTTGACCCGAAATACTGTTTAGCGAGGGAATTATTACATCCGGATACACCTTTTCGCCAGTAGCCCTGTAACCTGGGACTCCGTCCTACCCCGGTGAGTACATACGATGCTAAATCTCCGGGGTTAACTTCATCGCTAGTGTTTAGCTATCGCTAACCACTGAGATGTACTTAACCCCTAGTAAGAGGTGAGGTGGTCATTCCTTTACGATTTCATCGGAATAAAAACCACATTGATCCGAACTTTTGTGCTTTCCAGTCCTTATCAAAACTAATACGAAGTATTTTATATCAAACCACAATGGTAGGAAGAGAGTCCTACCGGTACTTGATCGCGAAATGGTGTATACGTGTGGGCGCAGTTCCAGGACAACTTGGTTCCGTGCCACGATACATGATTGGTAGAAAACAATCACTTTGAAATTTTCAGCCAACGTAACTTGGATAAAATCAAGTGGCTCAAAACTATTTTCAGTCTAACGTTATATACTACAGTACTAGTAGCTATTTTCCCTCTTTTAATTCAATTTTCCATCAAGACTAATACGAATTTCGATATGATTATAAGTCGTACGAACTACATTAATTCTCCTCTTTAAGAAACACTATTACTAGAATAAGAGCATCCCCACCGGTGCGACTGTAAACGCTATTATACAGTTCTATCCGGATTATTTACAGTTTTGACAACCCCACCGGGCGACTGTAAAATACAGGAAACTGTAAAATTTTACCGCGAGACGGCAAATCGGCCAGATTTACAGTCGCGACTGTAAAATACAGTTTTGACGAATTAGCCAATAACATGCT